GGTTCTTCCTTCTTCGTCGTAGGACATCAGGCTGGAGTTTCTACAGTAATTTTCCTCCATAATCATAGTAGATCGCGTAGTGTCTCATCACTTGAGATGTCCGATGGTTACATTCCCGCTAGGATCTCATCCCATGTGTGGAAGAAAAGTGATAGGTTTCTGTCTCCCTGATATTCAAAGTGATACAAAAGTAAACCTCAACGTTGGATGTCGTCTTGAAGTTGAGAAGGATCAATGCTAAGATTGTCCCTGCCCTTGATCAAGGTGGAGGTTCTTCCCCTGGCATTGATATGGGCCCTCAATGTCATAATAGCAACATTGTTTCCCTCTTCCTCGGAGTCGGAGACGACCTTGGTCAGTGCTAGGCCCAACTTCGCATCGATAGAGTGGAACCTTAGATCACCAGAATCCAAAAGCCTGTCAGGGTCTGGATCGTCGACCGCTTCCCTGATCCAATCGATCCATGGTTGTTGATCTGAATCGTTTGCAGCGATGACAATTGCCTGAATCAAGTTTGCCTTCCACAATCCGAGGTCATTGACTTTGGGCCATGGTGGCGCTTTGATCTTGGATTCTTCCTTTTCTGATGGTTTGTACCTGAGTTCTGCGTTCATGTTTTCATACTCCTGTGCTTCCTTGGGTTCCTCACCATAGCTATCGAAGGCCTCAGTGTACCAATCATACACTTCATCACGTTCCTTCCTCAACCTATGTACTCCACTCTCTTGGTGTTTAATGTCTTCCTTCAGGCGCGAGTGATCCTCTTCCTTGGATCGAGAGGTTAGTAGCCCTCGTCCGTCTCGACTGTCGTCTCTTGTTGGACCATGACGCATTTCAGCCTTCATCTTTGCATTCTCGGACCTCACTTCCAAGAGTTTCTTTTCGGCGTGCTTCTTTTCGGCGTGGCGTAGGTTCTCTTCAAGTTCCTGGAGTTTCTCCTCAAGTACCGCTTTCTCTCTACCATTGACTGCAGAAACCTTTAGGAGACTTTCCCTCTTCAAGATCTTGTTGGCCTCGGCAAGGGCGAGATTGGCTTCTTTCAGCTGCTGTTGTTCTTCCTTCGATTGTTTTTGTAGTCCAGTCGCAGCTTCTTCCAACGTCTTCGACGCTTCGGACATCACCCTTGCCTCGTACTGAAAATGTTTTGCTCTTGTCTCCTTCTCATTGATCTCTAGTTTGTATCCGTGATTTTCAGTCTTCTGCTCCAAGTCACAATAATTCATCTCTGCGATCGTACTCATCTCCGATCCTCTGAAGGCGGCCAGTTGCCCACGAAGATGTTCAACCATCCTCTGTTCTTGGTGCTGATGACCAGTAGTCTCGGCAACCTTGTCAGCCAACTGCGTCTATTGTACCTCACTACACCTCCAACATGTTGCTGTTCTCGTCTTGTAGCGTCAGCATTCTCGTTTGAAGATCATGATTGGCGACGTTCATAATCGCTTGATTTTCCTCACTCAGATTCTGAGCTCGTCTGTTGTATGCATCAAAGGTTTGATTCTGCTCTTGGATGTAGCGAAAAGCACCTTGCATTTCACTGGTCATATCCTCCATTTGGGATCTTACTTCATCAAGTTGGGAATGTTCTTCGTGACTCTCTTGAGCAAGTTCTTCGTACTTCATGTAGATATGATCTGCTAATGATTCAGCAAGTCGGAGTTTCCGCGAATTCCTCAATGCGTATGGTTGCTCCTTCATCTTCTTGCATCATTTCTTATAGGTGTGTGTGCATCGTCATATTGCATTTCGTCAATTGCGCATTCTTCTTGTGATTCAGCATAGTGTCTTGCGTATCCATCGTGTAGACAACTGGATTCATCATTCAAAACTATTGCTATGATACTCTAGCTGATCGAAGTTCTTCCACGACTCGCATTTCTCTTTCTTCGAAGTCTTTGGCATCCACTCTTTCAACATCTCTCTTTGGTGATCTTCTTGTTGTTCTCGGTGATGTAGATCTTGCAAACCTTTTCATCACTCTCTTCGCGTTGCCCATCCTTACATCGGATCCAGCAGATGTCGTCTCCGGGCGAGCGACTCTGCCTTCACCTGACACTTATGATCCTGTTGGCATGGTCATTATTGTAGCATCTGCTGAGCTCGCTCCAGTCAATGATCCCGGCGATGACTGAGATGCGGCTCCTCCTGGCGCAGCAAAGGAGAACTGTTCGCTGCTCTTTCCTCCGGAGTTCGACATTGCAGGTCTAGTGTCGACAATTGTAGTTGCGGTCTCTCACAAGCTCGTAACCTCAGAGCGGCTACGGCTGATAACCTGCACGTGGATATTAATCACTCCAACGGGCAGTGTAGAATGACTATCCTTGTTCCCATGTACGAAAGCAGCTGCGCGCTTCTTTTCTGCTCTCTACGGGAGTCTTGAGCCAAAGCGTTAGTGGTTCACGCTGTATTGAACTGTACATATGTACTGTATGCCTATCGCTGCATTGCTGTTGAAATGTAATTTAAGGTTGGTTTCCAAAATGCCTGTTCCCAAAATGGTGCACTCACCGTAATTCCATGGGGGCCTGCTTCTAAATCTCCTATATGTTTGAGATTGTTTGAGCCATGCTGTGGTAAAAGCACGTGTATTTTACATAAACAAGGTCAGAACCTTAAGAAACTCAGCTAGCGCGGAGGCTGGCACTGCTGCTGTTGCTGCCGCTGCTGGATCCTAGCAGTTGTTTGACTCTTGCTGCTAGTGGGTTGCGACGACATTTCGCATCACCCCGCAAGTCTACAAGTCGACCCAGACCTTCGGCAAGCATGAAAAACAAATGTTCGCCATGCATCAAAAATTTGTGGGCCGTGTGCCACTGATTTCGAAGTGCACCGTTGTCTAGTGCGGAGCTAGCGCGCGGCCAGTGCAAAAACTTGCTGGTACTTGAGCGATTGAGTGAGTGTGAGTGTGAGAGAGAGTGAGTGAGTGAGGTTGAGTGAGTGCGTGGGTGAGTGAGTGCGTGAGTGGCTAGGGAAGGAGGGAAGGGAAGGAGGGAGGGCTTGAGGGAAGAGAATCCAAAATCATTTGGCAACACACAAACACACCTACCAACAAATCGTAATCATATCAGTCATAGAGAACCTAGCGCTGACCTAGCACCAACCTAGCGCTGGAATCAACGTTGTCTGCTGGGGGCCCGCTTCTAAACGAAGACTTATATCACATCTCCGACCGTAACAATTACTATTTTTTCAAGTAGGGCTTTTTGAGCGCAGTCTATATACTTTTCTGCCAAACTGGCTTATGCTGCTGCTGCTCGCTGCTCTTTCCATGGCTTTTGTAATTGTCTGGTTTCAATGCAAGAGGGACCCATTGGCCATCTTATTGACATCACCAATCGAAAACAATCCATTTGGCGGAGCACACTGCTGGTTTAGTGTGGTTCGGGAAAATGCCAACACGTCCTTCAAAAAGCATCCATTTCAGACCTGCAAAGCATCGTTGATTTCGTCCTCAAGCATTGTTCCAACCTTGGCGCGAAGTGGCTCCAAGCCGCGAGGATGCCCCAAAGGCGTTTGGCGATTTGGATTTTTTTACGGTTATTTATTGCCAAGGCAGCCCGGCCTTTTCCACCTCCTCCAAAGTCCTGTCCACAGAAGCCTCAGTTCAACCGCTTGTGAATCACCAGTGAATCATGGCAGGTGATACAGTGCATGCCCAGAACACCGACAGCACATCACAAAGGCGTTGCTTTCACAGGCGCTACATTGCTACATGTTGCTTCCACATTCTTTACATCTTTCATGTTCGCTGGCAAAGAACAGCAGTATTCCTAACACTGAAAATCCCGAAAGGATCCTGAGATCCCTCAAAACTGGCATATCGTAGGGTTCAACAACCCTACACGTAGGGATTCCCGAGCCCTCCCTACCATCATCTACCGTCACTTCTGATTCAACCCGGTCGCTCATACACTAAATGCAGCTGCAGCCTTGCATAACTTCGAAAAGTTCAAGAGGAAGTCTGTCATGTCTGGAGGCCTCCAGGCTTGAGCTACAGGATGGGGGATCGACCAACCAGACTTGGCTCCGCACATCTCTTGGGGCCTTCTGGGGTTCCCAATTACAAGGTACACGCGAGAATAATTCGGAAAATGGAAGTGCCATCGTAAGACTTACCATGAAAATACTGTCCAGCACGATAGCATAAAGACCCTGCCTGTCGACTTGGTGCGGGTGCATTTGATGAGGGCAGCGTATGCCCCCTAGCTCAGAAATGGAATGGTTTTGAGCTAATCTTTTCCTTCAGTCCTTCAGTTCTGATTGCGGAACATCAGCAGATGCTTACTGTATATGGATGGTGAATAGTTCACGGTCTTGAAACGGGGAGCATAGGTACAGGCTTCGAGACAAACCGGTCTGCAATCCTTTCATACTTGAGCTTTGACCGAACACAAGTGCATCAACTTCACTAGCCACGTCCATCCCAACCTGGCCTTCCCAGCCTCCGGCAAAGCTGGGAATGGGAAGCAAACAGCTGCAAAGAAGTAAGCCATGTATCCAAAGACCAGTGATTTGCGAGTGAGCTCTTTCAGCCCCCAACCACGTATCCTCTTGCTGAAGCCTAGTCTCCCTTTATATTTACAACAAGTTACTACTTACGAGTCCTTTTGCAAGCACTGCTAGCAGTCCAAAGAACAGGCACTTGTGGGTCAAACAACCCCGCCGGCGCCCTGTAGTCCATCCCCCAAAACCATTTGAACACACATGCCTGGAGTTGAGAGGATTAGGAATGTACAGCACTTTTCCCATTCCAGATTTGAATGAGAAGACTGCTCCCGCTGCAGGTGACAGTCAAGCAAACTCATCAGCAAGCTATGAGCTTCCACGACGAGAGATTGCAACGGCAACTTAACAATGCAAAGAAGGTTGATGCTCCACTAAGGCTTGATACTACTTGATGACCCACTGTGACTCACAGTCATCTTTTTGATTCCCTGAGATACGAGTAGTACACTCTTTCAGGCCTGCTGGTGATCCGCCTCATTTTGAAGACAACCCATGAGCAGTTCAGAGTATTGCAAGACTGCCACCTTGCATTTGTTTAGGGCCAGGTCCTTATGTCATTTTTTTCCGCTTTTGAGGGCTCTGCCCTCCGCTTTGCCGTCTCTTCACTCGAGCCTTGGCTGCATGTTGAAGGACCTTCGCCATGGCAAGTCAGGCTTACTAAAGGAAAACATATAACCTGGCCTGATCCAAGTCATCCATGTCCTCTTTCCAACCCAGCGGGTTCACTTGCCAATAGGTCTCTGTCATGATGGCAGCCGCAATCTTTCGAGCCGGGTCAAGCCAGAAATAACTCATGCCTGGCATCGGAGTCTCTACGCCATCTGCAAGGTCGACTTCAGATTGCGCCTCCCATGTAGAGAGCGCCAGCGTGAGGACCATACCGTTCAATGTTGCCCAATGGTGACCACCCGACCTGAGTTAATTGGTTAACAAGTTGCCTGCATAGTTACCATTTTAAAAGAAGTTAGTTGCTGTAAATAGTTTCTGTAAATTGTCTTATTGCTGGGGGGGACAGGTTAAGGACGCGGATCTCACTATATAAACAAAACCGCCAATGAAGGACTGAGAGTCATCTGGACTGCCCCAACCTGGCGGATCTCGAATCTTGGAAGCTCGCTTCAAACGTAGCCAGTCTGTCTGCAATGAGCGAACTGTAGATTCTTTGAGAACACGGCGTCCAGACACAGATCGTCCACCTAGAGCAATTTCAAGTCTAAGAGCCCTATCTCAGCTACCAAACAGCCTGGCTTACTCATGTTCAATATGCGCCAAGCGTTTTCCAAGCTACTATTCAATAGCATCTGGCAATACAGCAGAATATCTCTGAGCGAGAAAAGCATAGTCGAGCGCCCAGCGCCCCACAAACCTCCGCCAGCAGGCACGCCGGTTGGCACTCCAAGGGAGCGATAAACAGCGCGTGACCCTTTTGCGTACCTTGGCATCAAATAACCCTTCACAGCTGGCCCAGGTGTGCAAATTTCGCAAAGTGAGGCGCTACTAGGTAGTTGCATGCTTTCTTTTTGCAAATGATTGCTCTTTTCTTTTTGCAAGGTAAAGAATGACAAACCTTTGCGAAGGGGCAAAAAGGAGTGGGATGGATGCTTCAATCATCTTCAATCACCGTTATAGTTATGAAATATTATGAATGCTAGACTGCCCTAGATCTGTTTGCACAAAGAGCCGGGTTTGGAACAGCACACCAACTTTGCACAGGAAATAAACGATGCGAAAGACTGTTGTGCTTCTCCCCTCGAGAGCCTACCGAGGCAAACCAGGCTGGTGGTGTGACGGTGGTGCCTCGTCCATGAAACAATAATTGCAAGAACATGTGTGGAACACATCGTTTCATTTTTGATAGCCCACGGCTGAAGGAAGGTGGCAAACATGAGACCCCTTGCATGCTGCATATATCTCTTAGCAAATGCAACACCTCTCGCTTCCCACTGTTCCCTAAAGGTACACCTTGCTGGGATGTTGTGCATTGTCAGTGAACATGTAGCTCAAGCATGCGGGCACGGACGCAGAATTGGTATCAATCTTGATCTGTGCAACCACGCTGCATACTGTCTCTTGCTTTCGATCCATCCAACCGCTGCAGCCATCGCTTGCCTTTTACCTTAGCCGAAGCGAAACCGACATGGTTTCTCACGATCAGCTTCTAGAGCTGAAGATGCTGAAAGGCTTGGTGGTAGACATTGTGTGCCTGTGAGAAACTCCGCCGACCCGTGTGCAAAGCGGGAATGCCCGGAGACGAACATGTGTTGCATGAGGATTTCAATTTGAAGCTTTGGAGGGGTCGCCAGTCTGGGAGGCTTGGGCAGGTCGTCTATCCCACAATTTGTAAGAGCAGCTTTGGAAGGACTTAAAACGAAATTGAGCCCTTGGTTGCGGCCAAATAATTGAGCAGTTTGGAAGTATTTTCATAGCCCGAGGTCTGGCCAAATCTGACCTTTACAGGGTCAGTGCCTTGGCCAGGTTGGCGAGTAACTGCTAGCTGATATGGGGCTTCATTTCTCCAAAGTCCAGGAAGCGCCCTCAGCCTTGGACGTGTTGGCCACTTTGCTTGTTTCGGGTCGGCACTGCCGTGGGCCATCCTCTGTTGGCACCTCGGATGTAAATTCGTAAGGCTACTTGCAGGAGTTCAAAAATTATATAACCTGTCTCCAGGATCTCCAGGTACTGGATCACGCATCAGGCGGTAGTAGGTGGCGAGTTGGTGTAGCTTGGAAGCAGGCACGAGGAAGCAAGAATCTCGCATGCCCACTGGTTCAAGAACCTGCACACATGCATAGGACGCATCTCAATGCCCCAGCCCCCAGTTGTGGCTTTCTAAAACTTTTGGCTCAGCTATTGAGACAGAGCACGCGACTTTGAATGATGCGTCGCAACGGCTTGCCGGTCGCCAGCTGCATGACCTCGGTCGACGCACGAGTAATCACGAGTAACCTTGGTATTCTAGATGAAGCACATGCCTTCCAGTGTTCATTTTGACAGAATTCAGGAAGAGATTGGCTGAGGAACATGGCCGAGAACATCGAGACTCATCCCATAAGCATAATCACTTCCAGGCTGAAAAAGCAGCGGTAGGCCTTTGATGGCATGCCAAGTGAAAACAATTAACATACTAACACCAGTTGCAGCCTATGACATGTCAATTTCTTTGTCGGGACACGTTAGCAATTATTTTGCCAAGCTGTTTTGTGAACATGGTGAAAAAGCATGGGTATATGATATGAGTCCTCTATGTTCCTCTGGTGGATTTGGCAAGAAACTGCAAAGTTCATTGCAAAGCTTCTCCAACGTGTCAATCTCACCTGTAGCAAATGTATCTCCACTTCACTCGGAACACAAGGATGCATTGAAAGCATTTGAAAGCCTGCCTCTCTCCTGCTTTGTGGCTATAGTTTTGTACAGCTTCTCCTGCAGCTTATGCGCCGAAATCCATGTTGTCACAAATCAAACTCAAGCCTTTGCTACACCCGTGCACTAGAAGCCGCCAAAAGGCATCCATCCAAAGTTTGAAAAAGACTGGAATTGTACTGGAGGAGTGGCGCCTAATTTTGCCGCTTACATTTTCTACACTTTCCGCAAGAAGCCGGTCCAGGCGTGGAAAGGTGTGAAATCGCAAGTCGAGGCCAACGGTTCATTCCTTTGTCGATTGAACTCTATGGTACGCAAGGCGCAAGCTCCGAGTTCTGAGCACAAGCCAGCCATGGTAAGCATATGATGCAACGCTTTGAGAAAATCCAGTGATGGACATGCCTCGGCACCGCTGAACTTGACACTGTCTATTTAGTATGCAAATACATTGCTTCATGAAATCTGCGGAGCTTCCATAAACAATCTATCCCTTGGCTCCAAAATCCTGTAGCTAGGCTACCAAGCACCTGGGCTGGCCTTGTTGAACTTAAAGCCTTGAACAGCTTGTGTTTAACTTAAAGGTCTTGGTGTCCAGCAGGCAAACAGTTGAAAAATAAGAACACGGTGAATAGGAGCTTGAAGGCACGATTGTGTTGGCAGTGGGTGGTTTCGAGGATTGACGCCTCCAAAATTGAGCTTTGGATTTCAGTCTCACAAAAGGTTTCCTAAAACATTGATGAATAGTCAAATATAATCAGCACTTTGTGCAAGCGTGAGATTTCTTTCGCCTGCTACTGCTATATCCGGCGATTATAATGATTATACAATATGCGAAAGCGCCTGTCACGACATCGACTTGAACCTGAGAGCAAAGCAGCAAGCGTGCAGCTTTGGCCACAAAGCCGCAATCTGTGTGACGACTCCGTGCGAGTCAGGCAAAACGAAATACCTCGGCGTGTCTTCTCTCCTTGCACAGGAACCTCTTGCAGTTCAAAGTTTGGGGAACATGTCCACTTACTGTATATAGATTTTACATATATAATCTCTTAGAACATAAACACGCACCATCTGACTATACGTAAGCAAAGCTATATATATATATTGTTATATATATCATGTACACACACAGAAGTATATACTGGCATACACGGGCTAAGCAGTCTTCTTTTCTTGTGTCTGGACAACATGCATGTTGATGGCCTTCTTTTGTGATCCATTTAGCATCATTTCGACAATTACATACTTCTCTCCTCTTTGGACCTCGCCACCAATGGAACCCCAGGGGTAATAGCACCTGGTCCGTAGCCGATGCCAGACGTGTGCATCAGCAAGTGGCGCAAGGTCATAGTCTCACGCATGGGCTCTGTCCCCTTGCCACGCTTCACCTCACAGTCCAACTACACAATTACTTGGCTGAAGGCATGGGAACTGCAAATGACCCCAACGACAAATCCGCTAAGGCAGGTGCTCTTAGCATTTTGAAGGCTGGAATGTACTTCTCAACGGGGTCATCAAGTTTGAACATGCCATCATCCACCAACGACATGAAGGCCGTTGCAGTAATGGGCTTCATCATGGAATACCTGGATACACGGAAACTTTGCCTTTTAACCGTTTGCTGTAACATCTGTAATTAGTTGCATCATTTAGCATGCTTTGCCTCTTTTTGACCATTGTGCGAAAGGATTCACCTCTTCAAGGCCTGAAGAATTGCTCCAATATGTCTCAACAAAAAGGCTCGACACCAAATGGGTGCGCACAGGGTGCACAGGTGCAAAAGCGAAAATTTGCGTTGTCACTTGTCATAGTCATGCATTGCCAGTCTGCGAGACTTGACCCACCCCATTGTGTTAACAATTGGCCACCAACCGCTAGAGTACCAGAGCAAGGAGGGCTGTGATTGTCTGACCATCCCCCTCGAAATTAGCCATGCGACCCTTGAAATAGTGTGCGCTCAGACATTTTGTGCTTCTTGTTCTTGTCAGTAAACCCGCGCAAATTGAGAAAAATAGATTTTCCGTCTGCAATGACACCCTCGGCAAATCCAGGAAAAACGCCACGCTCCTGCCCACAGCCACAAGCTTCGATTTTTTGAAACCACTTCTAGGGCGCCACCCTTGTCTATGTCCTGGTGATCTTTGATTCGCTGCCGGTGTCTCTCCAACGGCTTTGAATCAATGCCTAGAGCTTCTGGAGATGCGGTATGGAAACCAACCGCCGACATTGCTGCGCTCATTGCGCACACCGTCTTGCACAGTCTAGCAACATTTTAGCCTGTCAAATTCAGCTCTTGGGATCCAATTTGAACCTGTTTGCGATATGGTGGGATCAATTAAAGTCTTTGGGAAGCCACTTGAAGAGGAAAAGGGCGAGTCTTTAAAATGCTTTTGACAGTCTTCGGGCAAAGAGCGATGCAAAGAATTCATCAAGAAACAGGCTCAAAGAGTGAAGGTTCTCACGCGTTAAGGCATTGATTGATAGCTATCTTTTCAGGATCCGCCGCAAGCTGTTGCATAGCCGCCGCATTGCCGACTAGGACGCATCATGGCTTGACTGCATCAGCTCAGCTGATGACCAGGCCAACTGGGTAAAATCTGAGATCATTTCTCCAGCACTCAGGATACTGGTTGGGCCTGTCCAAAAGCAGCAAGAGCCCATTTGGTGGGAGTGAAAGCCAAACTGTCTTCCTCCCCATTTCACCACTTCCTTCTAAAAAATGGACAAGCCTCGAACAAACGCGAGAAGTAGAAATTGGTAGCCGTCATCTCCTTGCGGGTGACCTTTAACACCGGAAAGAAAAACACAGCAGTGCAAGTGAGTCCATGGTTTGTTGAATCCCCTTGCAGTAGCCTTGTAGCCAGCTGCTTGCAGTGCAGCCTCCACGTCAACTTCTTCATGCAAGTAGGCACCTGAAGTCAAACGAGCAATGTTACAGTATCGTTTTCTGGATCCCAAAAAAAACTCCAGTAAACCTCGCCCAGGGCACGTGTAGTCTTTGATTTGCCTGGAAACAGCTCGCCAATTCTCTTCAACAGTGTATAGTACCTTCAGGTGGATGTGCGGCTAAAAGACACAACATGACGAATGTAGCATGAACATGCACATTCTTGCCGATAAAAACGACGCAAGATGTCATCTTGGCGTACCAAGTCTTTGGAGCGAATGACAGAATGAGCCTCTCCTTGCTAAGCCTCAATCCCCGCACAGCGGTGAATTCGCTCTGCCGGAGTTCAAAAGGCTTTTAGAAAAAGACTTGGGCAAAAACCCCGCAAGATGTTGCACCATCCCAGACATCTTGTCGGGCGGATAGTGAATAAGAACCTTGTACAGCAAACTTCATGAAATCATGAAATCGAGCGTGGCAACCTATTTCAAAATTGCAAAAAAGGAGCATCCACACAGCAAACTGTGTCGAATTTGCCACTGATGGCCTGAGGCAATGGTATTCATGGGCAATGGTATTCATGGCTTGTGACGCAGTGACACATGGCACTCTCGGCCTCAAGGTCTGAAGTCGAGAACCTGAACATGTGACAGTTTCCGTTGATATCCTGTGGCTCTGTTGGAACCTTTGAAAACTCCTACGGCATGTTCGGTTTTGTGATTGTTTTGGCACCATCCTTGTGTATTCGAGTTACAGTTGCAATCAATCCCCATGCACAATTTGAGAGCTTGCAAAAAATTGGACGACGGATGGCCCGAGAGCGTTTAGATGTAGAGTTACTCTGGTGTCAGGAACGCGTGCATGATGACGACGAAACAACGCAGCAAAGCGAGTGATGAATTGCTGAGAGAGAAAATGAATGAGAGGGTCACTTTTGACCAAACATGTGATGAAAGGGTCAAATGTGTGGATCCAGGCCCTGCCCCAAACACGTCTTATGTCCGTGTGAACATGTGAGCGTTGTTGCAGGAAAGTGTGTGGACTCAGGTTTTGCCCCCAAGATGTCCGCGGCATGTGTGCACGTGAAAATTTGAATGAGATGTTGCGGAAGCTGTAGCCCTCGTAGCTGTATGGCGCAGTGAGAGCACAGAAAACCAGATTGCAAACCATTGCAGCAACTTAAACAAAGACAGCAAGGACAAATTTCAAGTCAACGTTTGCACGTGTTTTATCGTACTTGTGCACACGCTGCGTCTTGTTTGGAGTCTTGTGGAGTTGCAAGAACTGTTGCACAGCTGTTGGCATGCATGCCCACAACTCAATATGAAGAACTTTGACGCGGGTGCGTCTCAGACACATCCGCTTGACGCGCTCTGGAAGACACGTTCCCTTGCGAAGTCACGTTCGAGCAGCCACAAGTCTTCCAAAACGTAAATGCAACGCTGCCAAGGTCTCAAGGACGATTATTTCTGAAGAAGCGTCTTGATTGCGTCTGCAACTGTATGATTGTAAGCCACAATGAGCCAAGCGCAGAGAATAGCAGCGCTGCGATTGACGCCGCCGAAGCAATGAAATGGGATATGAGATACGCGTTAGTTTGCGGCCCAAAACAGCGGACATTGAGCGCTGCCAGAGTTGATGCTCTTCCAGTCAGAAAGGCTTGCCCTTGGAAAGGCTTGCGTCTCACCTTTTGCAGTGTTCCGTGCAGTGGGCCGCTTCACGGTGACGTTGTCCAAGCGGCGCTGCAATTAATGAGCTAGTTCTTCCCGTCGGACAGTAGGCACGTCTACTGGGCGGGTCGTAACAACCATCATTGATATGCCAAGTTGAATGGGGCAAAATGCGCGTAGGGGTACCAACCGGTGCAAGGAGAACATTGAGCATCAAACCAAACCAAGCATGACATGGGCATAGCCGCGTAGCTTGTAGTTTTTGCCCAAAACATGCACCCATGCTTTCCCCCAAACACGGCGCGGGCGGGACGTGCAAAAGACTTGCCTGCAAAATGCCGGCGCTCAAGAACTCTGCAGAACTGATGCCGGGTGAAGCGCAAACATATCTGAACTGTGAGAAGCAAACGCATTTTTTGGGCAAGGCTTTGGGCGCTTTGGCTTCGACGGGAAAGAATCTTTTGCGTTGCATCCAAACCTCGCGCTCACCCTATCCGCGCTTCTTGATGGCAGGCAAACTAGCCCGGTATAATGTAAGTTACGAAGATTGCAGCTTGAAGGCGAAGCCTGGCATATGCCTTGCCAACGGCTCTCTGGTTGTCCAAGCGCAAATCTTACGAATCATTGGCTGGTGGTCCTCTTGCCCCTTTTGTGGATGTTGGACCCACCGCTGCCGGCCTTGCAGCAAGTGGTCGCGAGCCGAACGTCGAGCAGAAAATGCCGAAAGCAAACCCCTGCTCCCCACGCTTCGCCAACAAAGTGATGAGCTGCTCTGTATAATTCCCAAGCTCACCGCCCGCCGACCGAAACTCGATCGAGATCACCAGTGTGATCTGTGTTTCACAACTGTGGGTGTCATGGCGCTTGCGGAGTGATGTGCGGGCAAAGTCCAAGTTGATGACCCAATTGTCCAAGGAGCCAGACTAGACAGGTGAGCGTACTTCAGGATCTTCACCGGCTTGGGATAGGCAATACCGGCTATTCCGTCCACGATGGCTCCCTGTACCTCTGCCTGGTGGACTTCTATATTCCGCCCTCAGAGCCCGGATGCTCTCACTCAACTCCCCTTGAAGGAGTGAAGTGGTCCGCTTGTCCACCTTCTGGAGGAGATCAAAGTTGTCCAGGTAGACCCGGTGAAGTTCTCGCGCAGGCGGTGAATGGGCGGTCTTTCCTGATCTCCTGACCTGGTTGTAGGTTTCCCCTTGCAGTGTTGCCTGCTCTTCGAACCATCACTCTGTGCACGTGCTGGGCTATGCTGACGCTGTTCTTGAATCCCATCGGGAGAACTTGTGATGTAAAGTAATAGGTGCCTCTCTCATCTGGGCACATCCCTGGGGGGATTGGTCTATTGAACGCAAGGAAAGCCGACCACTCCTGGGGAACCCTGAAGATGTAGACAAAGCATCTCACATTCTCTGAGGAAATCACCAGATCTTCGCTGGGCATCAGCGGAAGGGGCCATGGTGGCCCAACTTGGCAGGGTGGCCGCGTCACCCTCGATCCCTCTCACCACTTTGTTGCATGGTCGTAGAATGTCGTAGATCCATTATCAGGCGATGAATGGGCACATCTTGCTCTTCTTCACCTTTTGGAACCCCGAACAACCCGTTAAGAAGGGGACGACCATCGACGTGGAAGAGGTCCTGCTCCAACATCGGAATACACACCCCATTACCCAACAAACCTCGGCAAACACCTGGCCAAGCCTCAGGAGCTTTCATGGACTGCTGGACCTCCTCAGGCAGAACGCGCGCTCCGGAATTTTCGACATAGTGTTTACACCCAAGCTCACACACCTCTGCAAGGGGGACCGATGCGATTTCTTTCGGCGTAGCCGGAGACAGATTGTCCCTGCTGGTGTACTGCGCGCGCAACACTTCTTAACACCTGTGTAGTCAATCTAAAGAAACCATGCCAGTTTGTATCTTCAAAGCGCTCCGTCCAGGACAACGCCACCCGGGATTGTGCGATGAGAAGCTCAATCACGCCCTTCTGGTGAACATTTGGGGGAAAGGGATTCTCCAACGACAGTCCGTACATCGAGGTCAAAACCACATTAAGACCTCGAACACTCAAACTCTCATCCAAAGTGACGCTGTAATTGTCTTGGAGGAGCTTCACACTGGTGGGCAACGGAAAGATGTCACCCGTGGGCTGGGTCGTGCACTGTGCGCGCAGTGGAAGTCCTAACTTCGTCCAAGATTCAACCAATGTGAGGGTCATCCAAGGAGCAACTCTTGAAAATTGATCACCCATGCACGGCGGCTTCGCGCAATCTTTTTCACGCCCAGACCTGGAATCAAATGTGTGGTCGTTGGCGGGTGGCGCCGGGACATCTGGACCCGTGGGTCGTCCTTCGGCAACTGTACCCAGCGTGTCATCACCTTCCTGATGCTCCAACACACTGCTGCTTGAATTAAAGGACCGGATAACCCCACATATGAATCTTTACGAGTCTTAAGTTTCTAAAGCACAAAGCAGTCAGAGTCTCAATAGCTTCTACAACACGGCCTTGTCAGGAAGTGATATCAGCTTCCGACAACAGAGGGGTGGGAGAGAAGGTGTAAGAGAGTGATGTGCACGACGGATGTACGAGGTATTGTGCACACAGGTGTGTGCAGCCACAACTAGCCAACAACACCAGTGGTTGTCGCGCGTCCGCAATATGGGGCATAATGTACTAAAGTTGTACTACCAAGTCGCCAGTTCTCATCTTCCAGCTCCCCAGCTACTCCGCGTACTAAAGTTGTACTACAAAGTCGCCAGTTCTCAGCTTCCAGCTCCACAGATTGCTCCGCGTACTAAAGTTGCACTAGAAACTCGCCAGTTCTCAGCTTCCAGCTCCACAGCTAGGATTAGTACTAAAGTTGTACTACAAAGTCGCCAGTTCTCAGCTTCCAGCTCCACAGATTGCTCCGCGTACTAAAGTTGTACTACAAAATCGCCAGTTCTCAGCTTCCAGCTCCCCAGCTACTCCGCGTACTACAGTTGTACTACCCAGTCGCCAGTTCTCAGCTTCCAGCTCCCCAGCTACTCCGCGTACTAAAGTTGTACTACCAAGTCGCCAGTTCTCATCTTCCAGCTCCCCAGCTACTCCGCGCACTAAAGTTGTACTACAAAGTCGCCAGTTCTCAGCTTCCAGCTCCACAGATTGCTCCGCGTACTAAAGTTGCACTAGAAACTCGCCAGTTCTCAGCTCCCAGCTCCCCAGCTGCTCCGCGTACTACAGTTGTACTACCAAGTCGCCAGTTCTCATCTTCCAGCTCCCCAGCTAGTCCGCGTACTAAAGTTGTACTACAAAGTCACCAGTTCTCATCTTCCAACTCCCCAGCTACTCCGCGTACTAAAGTTGTACAACAAAGTCGCCAGTTCTCATCTTCCAACTCGCCAGATACTCCGCGTACTAAAGTTGTACTACAAAGTCGCCAGTTCTCATCTTCCCACTCCTCAGCTACTCCGCGTTCTAACCAAGTCGCCAGTTCTCATCTTCCAGCTCCCCAGCTAGTCCGCGTACTAAAGTTGTACTACAAAGTCGCCAGTTCTCAGCTTCCAGCTCCACAGATTGCTCCGCGTACTAAAGTTGTACTAGAAACTCGCCAGTTCTCAGCTTCCAGGTCCACAGCTACTCCGCGTACTAAAGTTGTACTACAAAATCGCCAGTTCTCAGCTTCCAGCTCCACAGATTGCTCCGCGTACTAAAGTTGCACTAGAAACTCGCCAGTTCTCAGCTTCCAGCTCCACAGCTGTGATGAGTGGTGTGTGATGAGTGGTGTGTGATGAGTAGTGTAAGATGAGTGGTGTGAGATGAGTGGTGTGTGATGAGTGGTGTGTGATGAGTGGTGTGTGATGAGTGGTGTCTGGTGAGTGGTGTGTGATGAGTCGTGTGTGTGATGAGTGGTGTGTGTGTGTGTCACACCCTGGTTCTAAGGGTTTTCCACCTTTTCACCTTTCCACTACCACCGAGATCGTTCTTTTT